ATTGCTTCCACTTTGTGTTATATATTATCTAAGGTTTTGGAACTGTCTTTCCCTGAAGACATAATCAAAGCTGTTAGCTGGAATTCAGACCATCCACACTAAGAGACCCATGAAATCCATCCATCCATCCATCCATCCATCCATCCATCCATCCATCCATCCATCCATCCATCCATCCATCCATCCATTCATCCATTCATTCATTCATTCATTCATTCATTTTCTGTACACTCTTGTCCCTAATGGGGCTGGGAGGGGTCCTGATGCCTATCTCCAGCGAAGGTTTCGGGGGAGAGACCTGGACAGGTCACCAGTCTGTCGCAACACATGAAATTACCATTCTAAATTCAATTCAGTTTTAAAATAATTTATTTGTCCCAATGGAGAAATTAATTTTTGTCAAAACTGGTTTCATTCAAGTATTTTCAAAGAGCCACTGTGGATGGTGATTGATAAGGCAATAAGCCTTATTCATAGCTCCATGTGTTTGCTCTAATTTTCCATGTCTCTAAAATTTAAAGATAAAAAGGGAGAAAAACATTAAATAAAGAGTCCAGTTCAGCTGCTGTTGGGAGCTCAACTGGTTCTTTTGGCCATTTTGTATCTTCCAGCCTTCCTTCTTGTGTCTTTACAATCCATATTATTTTATTTCAGCTCATTTCTCTTTAAATGGCTCCTTTAAGGCTTCTGTAAAATACAGCTCATTATCAGAGACTAACATTTACAACAAAGACTTTTGATGGGTGGAAATGGAAATTTCCACCCATCAGTGAAAAAAAATACACTGTCAAGTATGATGGATAATCTATGGTGCTGTCAGTCTGTTTCTCTTCCAAAGGCCTTGAAAATGTTGCTAAAGTGGACACTATTCTGAATTCTTTGAAACGTCGAAATATTTCAAATACAATTCTGCATATTCTGTATTTCTTTGTTCAAAACATGGCAAGCTAATGTGGCCAAGTTTATATCTGTTATTCTTGATATTTGGTTTCATTTGACCACAATATTTCCTTCTGAGCCTTCTCTGTTATTCTACATATTGATGATCATTTTATATTTCTTACATTTCCAAATAGTCACATCAGTCCAAGTTAATGTTTGTTCTCACCAAGCGTCTTGCTCATTTACATAGTTTTGTAGCCTGGAGGAGATCTGTTATATGTTTCCCCCTGGTGTCCTGTGACAGCATTTCAGTCTTTCTCACAGTGATGGAAAATTGGCATTGAGGAAACTTGACATATAACATGCAAAATACATGATGGGCTGGAATCAGGAGGATCTGAATTTATGCACCTGTTTGACCAATATAATCTGTGTCCCATATGAGTAAATATTTTTTTTAAATCATCGAAGTAAATTTTATACATATAATGTGTTTTTTTTTTGTTTTGATTTTTGTTGGTTGATCATTTGTCTTTTACCAATAAAATAAAACTAACAACCCTTTTCTCAAGAAGCTTAAACAATTCAGAAAATGTTAGAGAAAACTAGAAGGATAGTTTGCTTGATTTAACCCACTATTAGTGACAGGTTTTGTCTATCTTACTTGGCCACCTGATGCTTCCAACTGCTGGTTTACTCTTCTCTGGATTGGCAACCAACCAATTTTGACTGGAGCAAGATAACTGAGCTGAGCTTGTTCCTTTGATGGTGACTGCACAATGTGAGCTTTCTCCCAGCCTCCCTTGCTCTCTGGAGTGGGAAACCACACAGTTTGGAGGGACTCCTGGCTGCTAGGGGAGCTCCCACATGAAGACGAGGCTGCGCTGAAGGAAGAAAAGCCCATTTGACTCCATGCTCTTCTTGGTGTCTGTCCCTCGAGAACAGGCATGGATGAAGTCCGATCATCCAATGATGTATTGTGAATTGGTGATTGCCCTTTGCTCTGCATTGTCTTGAGGTGCTCCAGCCAGAAGTCCAGCTGGCGCCCCTCAATGGCACTCTGCGGCCGAGGCGAAGGGGAAAAGAGAGACCTTCGAGGTAAAGACTCTTCTCCGGATGTAAAGCTCTCCCAGTAGGACTCGTCTCCTGACCTTCTCCAGCCCACAGCCCTCCTTGGGTGGGCAGCTGGCCTGCGGAGAGTCATCTCTTGGAATCTCAAGTAACCCCTGTCAGGTCTTGAATTTCAACCAGTAAATTAAGCCCTTTTACATAGAATCCATTTGTGAGTTTAGATATTTAGACACACTCTTGAAGGCATCCAAGTCATCCTTAGCAAGAATTAGCAATGGGTCATCTTTCCTGTTGATCTGTTGTGATAAGACATAAGACATTTCAGGTTACTACTGTATACCACTGACTATACCGACAATTCCCTGGGTCGATAAGATCATGTCTCTAAAACTCACCAAATTCATCCCGTTTTTTCTCTTCACTCCAACTCTTCTCAGTCCAAAGCTCTTGGGAAGCAAACACTGTCTGTCTTGGTATAAAGTAGGTGCTGGTGGGTCCTGTCTCCAGTCAGGCATGTAGCAATGTGAGGGATGCTTTGGCAAACAAAAGAGTTACTGAGCACAACAGCTGAACAGCCGATAAAACAGGAAAAAGAGAAAGACACAGAGGGATGGGCTTGCTGGAGGAGAAGAAAAAACACTTGTTGATTCAATGCATGCTCATCTAAAGGACGACAGTCATCAATGTTCAAATTAGGATACAATTTTTAAAAATAAAAACCTATTCAGTACACTGAACACTGAGGTGTTGTCACAGACCAAGGCGTATTTCTAATTAGTAGATTATCTGTGTTATTCCATGGCTTGTTTTCTGCTTCACTTTTCATCTCTGGTGAATTCCCATCTTCTTTCTTCCCTGTCTGTCTGTGATCTCGTGGTCAGTGTCTGATGATAAGCGTTGCCACCCTCAAGCCTCCATTTGAGCCGTGTGACTCCAGCAAGACCGGCTTAAAATGGGCCAGTGTCTACTTAGATAAGCAACTGTGACCCACATGATGTCCCATGTGACATATGGAGGCAAAAGAATTTGGTCCAGCCAATGTTTGTTTATTTAATTTCTTCACAATAAATAGAGAATTTCCATGGGCTCATTAAAAAGATGCAATTATTTTCCTGAGAGCTTTTGAAAAGAAACCAAGTACCAATAAAGAAGCAAAAGTTAACCAAAACATCATTTGAATCTTCAAAAAAGATTGTTTTAAATCATTTTTATTCAACCAAGATGTTAAATTAAATCTGTTTTTGTCAACATTTAATAAAATAAGGCTTGCTAGAACATATTTACATTCTCCTCAAGAACACAAAAAAATGGCATTCAGGAATTATTTTAATGATCTATTTTTGGTGATGAGCTAGAAGTATTTGAGATAAGAAGGCCTCCTTATCATCACTCTGAATTTTTTGCATCCTCAAGAGATATTCTAACAGATTCAAGATGAGACTAAAAGGTTAGAATAAACATTTATCACTTTAAAACATTACTTAAAACCTTAAATTCACAGGGACATAAATAATTAATGTCTTAGCTGTTTGTCATTCCCTTCACCTGTCAGTGTTAATGATGTTATGCCTCATCAGAGTAATTTTGAGAGTAGTAACGCCCTCTACTGGAAAAAGTCCAACACAGCAAGTGAGGGTGTGAAGGTCATGCAGCTGAGAGACTTCAACGAAGCACCGGATGAACCCAGTAGGGTTATCCATTCTGCAAACCAGATGAATAAAGATGAATGAATTCCAATTTGTGGACCAGGTGCATCTTTCTTAAGGTTTGTTTAGCAAATCACAGGAGCGAAATCCCTTATTGACTCAGGAGATAACAGGCTCGCTTGGATTCCTCTACTCTGTCAGTTTCACAACGGAAGAGTCAGATATTGGTGTGTGCTCTACGCATTCTAATTCTAATTCAGGTTGAAAGTTTTCTGACTTTCTGAAAGTGTTTCAAAGTTTTCTTTGCACTTTGGTTGCTTTTTTCACTATCTGTTAGTAGCTGAACATTGTGTGGTATTAACTTAAATTGAAAAGTGTCAGAGTTGAAAAAGAAAGTATTTCCAAAAGATGAAACAAATCTGAATTCATCTCTTAAAAAGAACCTGAGATAAATCCACAACAGAACCAACAAAAGACCTGAAAGAATCACAATCCTTCATCTGCTGTACAGCACATTTCCATCTCATAACTCTTTGGGAGAAATTTGGTCAAATTTTTGTGGCATATTACTATTATACATCTGTTCTATTTGTTTATATGCATTTAGCTAAATAACTTTGAACAAGCTGCTCACAGAGTAGATCTAGTTCAGAATCAGCTTGTTTTGTGTCAAGATATAGACAAAAGTTCACTGGTATACAGGATCTTCCCCATTATGAGAGCAGTTTAAGTGAGAAACAGAACTTGAGGTTTTTTCCTAAGATGGTGCAACATTTCAGTGCCCCTTTTCATTAACCTGGTGAATGTGATTCTGATGGTTTCTTAGTTTCAAGAGTGGCTTAATATGAATCCAGTGGTTGTAGCTCCTGTCCTGCAAATGTTTCAGTGTGTGGGCTCTGGAACCACCAACTCCAGCCTTGTGACATTCCCAGACACTTTTAAATTGGGTTTGTATCACAATTCACTCAAGGACTGCAGTTACACATGGTGAGTGTCCTTCCACTAAACTTTCTATTCACTTCTTTTGATACAGCACACTAGGGTCAGAGTCACAATTGAGAAACATGCGCTTGGTGTTGGTTTCCAATCACTGCTTCAAAGGTTTTAGAAATAAATAATTGAACATGTTCACTGTGTGAAATTATATGACACATAGATTTAAGTTTTTGTATTTCATTTTTTCTGATACTTTAATTCAGTGTGATGAAGCTGCATAACATTGCATGAAACAATATTAAGAGCAACGGTTATTTGTTTATGTTTTCAATCATGTGGCAGTTTCAGTCACGCTTTTCATGGCAGTACAAATGGAGCTGGATGCCTTCTGCATGAACGCCTACTGAGTGAAAAAAGTTGTGTTCCTTTCCTCCCCCTTGCGGAGCGTCCTGTCACTGTTGGAAAATGGCTGCTCGGAGCAGCTCCCCAAAGCTCAGAGAAAAAGTCTGAGGGGAAAAAAAGTCTGCTTTGAAGTGGAAAACAAACGCTCGCTTGACGTTTTTAATTCCAAACAGGCGACGCAGGACAAAACTCGCGGAAGCCAAGCCTCGACTCTGAGGATGTCTCGCTGGGTGCCCTCAAAGAAGGAAAAGTATGGAGTTGGTACGTAACAAAAACTTGCACGCTCCCATCGCTAGCTCGTCCTAGCCCTCTGCTCTTTTATCAGACTCACTGGACAAGTTTTTTTTTTTGGGGGGGGCGAGAACTGGATTAGAAAGCGGCCGGCTGAGTGTATGTTAAAGCGGCGTAGGAGTGTTTCAGGTAGAAATGTGCCTGAGCTGGAGGAATGCAAATCATAGTTTTCCCGCTAGTTCGTCAGAAACGCAGAACGAGGAATGTGCGTCTTTTGTGGGGAAGAGTGTGGATTGGGAATTGTTAGAGGCGCGCCTAGTTTCAGCGCTGCTTCCTGTGTTGTTGGGGCCTCGATTTGCTACAAATTAACCATCTAGTTCCAGGCTGCCTCTTTATTTGTAGCTGTTTAGGTCTGTTGACTGGCAAGCCCTGCCCAACACTCAAAACATAGTTTGTGACTGCTCCTTTAATTCGTCCGTTTGCTCAAAGCTTTACGTCTTGGTCTGAAAACTTGTCTCTCCTTTGGGATATCTGGACTCGTAATTGCAGTTTATGTTGCTAGTGAGCTGTACACGGAAGAGTCCAGCTAAAAACGGACCCCGCCATTTATCACTTGTGTTTATTTACATGGAAAAAGTCGTGATTTATTGCCGTGTTTATTTTTTCGGGTGTTTACTGTCAGCGCGCGGATAGACAATTGCAGATTAAAGCCACCCAGCAGTAACCAGAAACAAGTTTATTATGGGTTAAAACCATTCCTATTATTTCCCTATCTAAACACAATTATAGACACAATTGTCATGTTACAATGGATCAATATATAAACGTGTATGATTGTAGAAATGGAGTAAATAATTCTTCCCTCTTTCTTACACAATAAAGAAATTGTGAGCATTCTTATTTCTAAAAATATTTCTTTTAGAACCATCTTGAACATTTTCCATGAGTGATAGCATGAGTGAATGGCGAAAAAGCCTGTGAAAACCTATTTTTAGGTTTTGCCGCAGATTCTTGACTTTGGATATAGGTCTGGGCTTTGACTGGGCCATTCCGGCAAATAAATGTTGTGAAATGTTTTGAGCTCAACTTTGCAAGTGTCCATGGCTGGCCTTCTTCAAGATAAGCCATTTTTGGCTTCCAGCAGGTTTTCTTCTTCCCATCAACATTGTTGGGATCTTTATTCCTTTCTGACAAAAAGCACTCCCGCAGGATGATGCTGCCACCACAATTATTCCCTGTAGGAGTCATTGTGGTGGCAGTGACTGCCTGTAGTAAAGGTGATGTGCCGCACTTTCTTCTTGACATTTTTCTATAATGGCCATATTTGTGAGGTGAATGACTGATTGTAGTCCTTTTAGCAGATTCTCCCTTCTAGGTGAGGGTCTCATTCTTAACATAGACATCTTAGCTGCCTCTATGATAAATGCTTTCAGTTTAATTGGGTGGCTTGCATTTATCTCATACTCTTTTCATTTTCAGATGATGGGTTAACCAGTGCTCTTGTGAGATGTTCAAAGTTTGTCTGTTGAAGTGACGGGGAGTGATTTCAAATTTACACAATTCTTTTCAGATTGTTTTGGCAAAATATGCACTGTGTTGTGTGGGTCTGTCACATAAATTTGCCAAAGTTTCTGGTCGTAACCCGGAAACAAAACCTTCAAGGCGTATCGGGACTTTTATTCGGCACTAGCTTACTAACCGCTGGGGCATTCCTGGATCACGTCAGTCAGCTGGCCTGTGATCCAGGTGTAAGATAATAACAGCAGTGACTGAGATGGTTTCCTGTTGAAGGAGGGGAAATGTGTAATCAGGAAAAACATCTCAAAACATTTTAAGTTCATCAAGTTGTCAACTGTTGACAGGAGGAATGCAGAGAACTACATAAACAATCAGAAATACTCTGCTGTCCCAGGAAAGTTAACAGAAAGTTTATGTTTGTGATGGTAGTAGAAGAAACCAATTTTCTGATATAAACAATCAGTTTGCATGCTAACAGCATCTTCATAGTTGTTTTCCAGACATGTTGGCCACAACATGGCATTTTTTACTGTGGTAAAAGAAATTGGCTTCCATCGCTCATCTGCCTGTAATTTTTATTAAACATAGTCCTTTTTTCTGCACTGAATAAATTTTACTCAAACTAAGGGTTGGGTTTGTCAAAATTAAGAAAAAGTGTCAAATTATACTTCTGCTCTGAAACATGAATTTATTTTATTGCTTTTTATGCATGTTAAACAGTAGAGCCCATAGAAATTGAGAGAAGTTCAACCATTGTTTAACATAATAAATGTATTGCAATCTCTGCATACTTTGATGGCAGCACATGTCTATTCTGGGGGTCAAAAGTAGATGAATAAAAATGACAGTGAAACTTTAAAAGAGTCAAAACTCTGGCAGTTTTGAGGGAGATATTGATATGTTTTGTAGATGCCGTGATATGAGAGAAATAAAAATGAAAAATGGAAAATTCTATTCTGTCAAACTTTATTTTTAGTCTGCTGAATCAGAGGTCCTCAACCTCTTTGTTCCTACGGACCAGATTTACTCTCTCAGATGACTTTGTAATTGAGATCATCATTTTATAATTTATTTATTGGTATAATGACATTAAAGGCATTATTGTGCTTTGGCCTGCTAACTGGGCATGCATTTCTCTGACCCAGTAGGTGAATATTTATCAACTGTTGTTCTATGTTAAGCCCTATGGTAGTTTCCTTATGTTATTGTTGACTTATGTAGGAGGTATGATATCCCAGTAAACTGCTTTGCTGATGAATCATCTAAATACTCATTGCAGTGCAGCATTTTGGTGCAATTTTATTTGTTTAAAGTGTGATATAAAGAAGATTGACATTTACATTGGCAGTTTAGATCCTAACTACTTTGCTTCCTAGGACAGAAAAAGCGTAAATGACTTGAACAAAAATATTGTAAATAGTCAAACAAAAACATCAGAGAGAATTGCATTTCTCTTTATATGTAGGATAATGTGGAAATACTTGAGGTTCACTGTTTGTGCTTTAAAATGGCATTTTATATATTTCGACAACGACGACACATTTTTCTCCAGCTTTTATCTCAAGGACTTATGCTCTTAATATTTCCTTCCAAATATTTGCACGGTCGTCTGAATCTGTGCAATAAACACCTCTGCACGGTTTGCCTGAATAAATGTGAAGGAGCAATCTCATAAAGCACTCTGGTAAAACGAAAGATGGACAGATGTGTTTGCGTCCATTATTTGAGAGAAACACTGGTTGCATTTTGATGGCCTTGTAAAAGAGAGTGTGAAATAGGATACTGAAATAATCTGTCAAACATTCCAAAAGTGGTGTATTACACAGTCAAACAGTAGCATGATGGAGCTACAGCTGGTTCTTCTGGGAATCCCACAGAAGGTCCAGATCCAATTCCTGGAAATCTTCATCCATTTGAAAACCTTTTCTTGCAAGGTTTGGTTTCACAACAGCACATTGGTTAATTTTAATGCTTGTACTTTATGCCACTGCAGCCATGCTGAGCCCTTTTTATGTCCATTAGTGAAAATTTGCAGCTGACAGATGGGTGCTGATGCTGACTGATGGATGATTTCAGCAGGTGAAACTGAACCTTTGACTGTAGCTTTTAAACGAGCTCCAGTGTTTCCGACCCGGTGTGTGCTGCGTTAAACGTGTGTGTGTGTGTCTCTGAAAATGAAGAACCGATGCTAATGATTTCCCCCTCATCATTCTCGTGTAAATTAAAAAGTTGACTTTCCCTCAAATAATATTGGAGAAAATTCTCAGTTGGCTCGCTGAATGCAGTCATGGGATGACTCATTAGATGAAAGAAAAGCTGCTGCCACATCATGGTTGGAGAGGATTGGTAGGGCGCACAGCTGATGCACTTTTAATACTTCATGTGTTGACCGAGGAGTGCTAATGAGCTCTCTGTGAGGCCTGTGTGGCTGTCAGTGCTCTGTATGCATCTATTTCTGTTTCAGCAAAACTTTTTTTTTTTTTTTTTTTGTCTTGCCACTTAAACTGTTCTCATAATGGGCCAAATTGCTTTGTTGGTGGAGGTGGAAAAAACTCTTCAAGTCATTTTGCAGATGTGCTGAAAATAATTGCTGCTGCTTACAAAGGGTATTGTGTTTATTATCAAGGTGAAAAAAAACAAACTACTAAATTGATTTGCTGTTGAACGTTTTTAAAATAGTTGATGTGATAGCTGTGCAAAAACAAAATAAAAATGTTAGTGAGCACTGATCAAAAATCTTGGTTTTAAAGGAGACGTAATGTTATTTCTTTTAAATTAGCACATATACAGCTCTGGAAAAAAAAATAAAGAAACCACTTAAAATGATCTGTTTCTCTGATTTTACTTTTTATAGGTACATGTTTGAGTAGAATGAACATTATTTTATTCTCTGAAATGGGCTTCTGACAACATGTCTGAAAAAATTTTGTATTTATTAGCAGAAACTGAGAAACGGTCAAATTAACAAAATAGATGCAGTGCTTTTGGACCTCACATTATGCAAAGAAACAAGTTCATATTCAATTTGAAGCAGGAATACTAATGTTTTAACTTAGGAAGAGTTCATAAATAAATATTTGTTGGAATAAATTTTAGGTTTTCAATGGTTTTTTTCTGTTTGCCAAGTTGCTAATTAGGCTTGATTTTGATTTTATTTATTTTTATTTTTTTTACAGTGTTGATTAACTGTTTGACAGTTGAGATGAATTTGGTGTCATCATGCTATTATGTTTGCAGATCCACACAGATCGGAAAGTCCATACAGCACAAACCTTGTGGAGGTTTGTGCTTCTGAAGGAAATAAAGAAGACGAAATAAAGAACCCATGTATTCTGACTAGCTGAGTGAGAATACATGGCTGCAAATAAGAGAAAGGCAAGTGGAACAATGAAACTGTATGGAGTAGACTTAATGAACTTCGGCGAGCTTAAAAGGGCAACTGTCCAAAGCAAAGGGCGCCATATGAGTGAGGTGAAGAAGAGAATGCTGGAAGGAAGCAGTGAATGGAGATG